TTTATAAATCGTTATTTTATTAATAATCTTTCTTTCATAATTGATATTAGGAGTGTATAATCATATATGTAATCATGATACTGAATTTAATTTCTCACAATTAAATGACCAAATACAATAAACACGAAGAATATTAAAAGAAGAAAATTCTAAAAAATAAGAAAAGAAAAATTTTTAGAATAATAATAGTTCTTTGAAGCCGTAACCTATAAGAATTACTTTGGATTTTTTAAAAAATGACTCAACTTTTAGTTAAATAAATTAAAAGTAAACCGAATATTTATAAAATCTAATGTAAAATATTTAAGTATATTTGTAAAACTTATTAAAAGTTATTCCTGCTTAAGGACCAAATATATTCTAAGGTAATGATTGTAGTGATATAGTTGTTGATAAAAAATACAGAACTGATGGTGAAAATAATTCTGATATACATATTTGGGTTGCTTAAAGTTCAAAAATATAAGGTTTAGCTAATGCTATTTATTGCTAGTTAGATGATACTTTGAAAAGAGTTAATTATGGCAGAATTAAGGTGAATACGAGTTTTCTAGATAAATAATAATCTAATTTTGGATTTAAATAAGATTTTAATAATATCTTGCATGAATGCTTTCATATTTTAGGATTTTCAAGTGGCTTATATTAATTTTGGATAAATCCTTAAACCGGAGATTATTATAATGATTAAATAGATAATTTTATAAGAAAAGTATCTATAATGGGTAAAGAAACTTTTATTATGTCTACACCTTATGTACTTGCTACTGCTAAAAAATATTATACATGTCCTACTTTAGAAGGAATGTAATTAGAGAGCAATGGAGATGTTAATTTTATTGGTTCTCATTGGAAAGAATTAATCCTCTTTAATGAATTGATGGCTGCATAGTCTTCTGGAAAAGACTCTCAATTGTCTGTTTTTACTATTGCTTTATTGAGAGATACTGGTTATTATGCCGAAGTAAATGAAAGTATGGCTGAGGATTTTTAATGGGGAAGAAATAGAGGATGTGATTTTGTTCTTAAAGCTTGTTAATCTGATACTTAATATCCAGAATTTACTTAAAAGAATTATTCTCCTGATTAATGCTCTTCGAAAAATAATGGTTATGGAAAAGTTAAATAAATTGATTTATAGGATAATTGTAATACAGTATAAAATTCAGTTTATTGTGAAAATTCAGATATGAATAATCATTCCAATAGTTATTTTTTTTAAAATTTTGGTGTTAATTCTAAATGCTTAAAATCTACTGCTATTTTAGGATAAAATAATTATTAATATAGTAATGCTCGTTGTCATATTGTCTAATGTTCTCCAGATTTTAATTAAATTACGATATCTTTCTTAAATTAATAATATAAATTATTACTCTGTACAAAATAAGATTAAGGAAAAGAAATTGAAATCGTGGAAGGATAACCAGAACTTGGTTACGTTACTTGTCCTGATAATTATAGAGAATTTTGTAATTATACACCTGAATGTCCTAATTATTGCTCTCGAAAAGGTATTTGCATACTTGGATAATGTCGATGCTAATCAGGGTGGTCAGGAGCTGATTGTAATATTAGTTTAAAAGATTGCCCTTATTATACTTTAGAAGAAGATCCAAAATAATGTGTTTAATAATGTCCTGCTGGTAAATTTCCAAATCCTGATAAAGTATGTAGAAGTAACTGTCCTAAAGGTCTTTACTTTAGTAATTATAGAAAAAATTGTTTGGAATGTAATTATTAGTGTTTATCATGTTCTGGTCCTTCAAACAATTAATGTTTAGAATGCGATTTTTTAAAATATTTAGAAGAAGGATAATGTGTAAATTAATGTAGCAATAATTTTATATTAGTAAATTAAAGAAAATGTGTAAAATCAGTAGATTAAGGATGTGAATAAGAATGTGAAAAATGTGATTCTAAAAATAAAGTAATATGCACTAAATGTAAAGACTAGTACTTCCTTAACTTAAACACTGGTAAATGTGTTGCTGCTAGTGATTGTCCTTAAGGAACATTTGCTAATGAGGAAAACAACACATGTTAAATATGTGAACTTACAGGATGTATATAATGTTAATCTTAAACTGTATGTTAAGTGTGTGATGAATAATTAGCATTTTTTAAAAAAGGCGATTTATGTGCTAAATGTCCTTAAGGATGTTAAAAATGCTCAAGTGATTTATAGTCTTGTACTTATTGTTATAGTGGATTATTTTTATTCGAAGGATAATGTGTTAAAGATTGTCCTATAAATAAATTTTAGGATTAAAAAAAAAGAGAGTGTATTCCAATTTCTATATGTAAGAGAGGTTATTTTTATTTATAAAATAAATGTATAAAACAATGTCCTATATATACTTTTAATGAAAACGGCAAATGCATACAATGTCCTTAAGGTTGTTTAATGTGTTGGACTAAATCTAAATGTATTTAATGTGATAGTTAACACGATTTGGTTCATATATATAATACAATTTATAATTGTTAAAAAAAATCATAACATATAAATTAATGTAATCCACCTTGTTTGACTTGTTTACCTAATAATTTAAATAAATGCTTATCATGTATATCTTAATTTTTATTATCTAATTTATGTTATGTTAATTGTCCTGACACTTATTATCATGATTATTCGAAATAAGCCTGTACAAAATGTAAAGATGGATGTTTACGTTGTTCTTCTTCATCAGATTGTCATTAATGTGATTTTAAAAATGGATATAAAATTTAAAATGAAAATTGCATTAAATAAGTAGACAATGCTAAAGATAATGAAGACAGTACTAAAGATAACAGTAGTAGTAGTATTAGTAGTATAAATAATATAGGTAACTATTTAAATAAAGAAAAAGATATTACAAATAATGAAGGCATTACTTCAAATAATGAAAATAGTTCTAAAAAAAATGGAGCTAGTAGTACTTATTATAATTAAGCATTATTTTTAATTATTGCTTTTTTATTGCTATGATTAAAATTAATATATATTTATAATTTTTTATTTTTATAACTCTTTTTTAAAAATATGAAAATAAATATTAGTTTATTTATTTTTTTAATAATTATTTAAAAATTTGAAAATAATATTTTTTTAATTTAATTTTTTTATTTAATAATATCATTAAGTAATAGAAAACATAATATTATATATAAAATAAATATTTATGTATAAACTATATTATTATAAAAATTAGATACACATATCACATATAATACATTTTTTTAATTACAATAGTAAATTCTTATAGTATACTATTTTCTAAATACTTTATCAGGATTTTTAAATAGCCTTAAGGATATTATTAAACACATTTCTTTGAATTTTCTTTTAAATTATAATAAGGATAAATATTTAAACTAATATTATATTAACTTATATTACATGATAGTCTCTATTTAAGTGATTAATCAAATATTCATACAAACCTCCTGAAAATCCTTAAATATGAAAGCATTTTGCAAAATATTATTGAAATCATTTTTAAATTCATAATCAGTTTGTTTTCTTGATTAGGAGAGTAATATATTAATTTATTTTATGGAAACCCTCTAATATTAAAGGTCTTTATTGTAATAAAAATCTATAATTTTAGCCCATAGTATTAAGCTGGGGACTCAGGTCAAAACCCAAAAATTAATAATGAATATTTTTTTAGTGTAAAAGTATAATAGTGAGAAGTTCGCGAACTTGGATAGTGTTGAGAGAGTTTTGATGGTTTGTTCTCCTTAACCTGAATAGAACATTAAAATTAACCAAAGTTTAATCTCTAAAAAAAATATTTTTTAATAAATTATTAAATAAACTGAGTTAATTTTAAAATGTAACAAATATTTTTTTATATATTTGCTATTTTTATTATAAATAGTACCTTAAATTTAATATATACGACAAAAACAAAAAGTATTATTTTATTTTTCTATTTATATTTGTATATATATATGTAAAAATATGATGTAAACTTAAATTATTTTAATGGCTTAATTAATATATAATTTATATAAATTAAAATTATTAAAAAGTAATTATTTTATAAACGTATCACCTATTTTGATATTTGTTTCAATTATTTATATTAAGAAATACATTCTTCGCTTTTAAAAATAATTTATATAAATGAAAATTTAATAAAACTAAATAAATATATAAAAAAAATAATATATATATATATATATTTCGACCTTCTTAGAAAATAAAAAATATTCTGTCAACTACATCAAAATAAAGACTGTAAACGCATTGATTGTGAAAATAAGTAAAAATTTATGGACAGGTTATAAAAATGACTTAATGCAGGATCAAACGGGAGAATATAGTCTCTACAGATACTACTTACTAGTAATAGTGTAACTAGAATTATTAATTTCAATAAATACATTAGCTGATTGGATATCGAATACCTAAGATAAACTGAAAAAACTGTAACTATAAACTACTTAAATAGATTAATAATATGACGAAGAAACAAATAAATTCTTCTTACTATCAGAAACTGTGAAATAAGCTTCAATTTTAAAAACTAAACTGTATTATTTAATGAGAAAACTCAGAAATTGGAAGCAACTAAATAAGAATCATTATATGAAAGTATAAAATATGATATTTAACTAGAAATAAAAGAATCTATTTAAAGGCAATATATGTAACGTGCAATCTATAAAAATGGACTGACTATTAATAAAGATTTAAAATGCCATAAAAAATAATTAAATTTAGTAAATAAAAAATAATAATTCAAACAATAATATAAATCACATAAATAATAAACAAAAAAAGAAAACCAAAATACAATAAATTAATTATAATCAAACAATAAGAATAAAAAAACAAAAGTATAAAGAAAATAATAAGGGCATTAAATACACTAAAACAAAAATTTAATATAGAAAACAAATATGATATAAAAAATAGAAACATAATAGAAAAAGAATAAAAATAAAATATATAGAAAATTCCTAAAATAAGTTAATGAAATTTAGTATATAATTAAAACATCAAGACAAACTAACCCATACTAAAATATAATCGAAAAAAATGAATATAGTAATTGAAAATCTTAAGTAATCAGTGAAAACATGAAATGGAAAATGAATAAACGATAAATAAATTAACAAACACAGAAAAGACATTATGATAAATTAGGCGTAAAAAAATAAAAAATTAAGGGTAAATTTTATTAAAATAGTATTCATGGAATAGGAATCTTGTCAATCACACCTGAATATATATTTTATATTTTTATAATCTTAAATAAGATAAATATTAGATAATTATTATTTATATAAACTTAATATTAAATAAATTAAATGGTTATTAAAAAGTAGAGAGCACTAAATAAATACTTTAAAAAAATATACAAAGTTAAAACATATATATAATAATATTAATTAATTATATTTTAATTTTATGTGTTAATAAATAAAATATTTTTTATAATTTTATATGCATAATGATAAATAAAATATTTATTTATTGAAAATTTATTATTATAATTGGAATATTTGTCTTAATAAATAAAAGAAAGTTATAATATATTTTAAGTTTAATTTAAAATATTTTAATATATAAAAAAAAGGATAAAAATAATATATTATAAAAGAAATTTTATATAAAAAAAAAAAGATTTATTTTTATTTTATTTTTAAACATTTGTTTTTTATATACAAATTTAGCAAAAATTAAAAAATGAAAATATTTATTTCATATATATTGCAATAAAAATAAATTAAACTAAGTATTTTTTTTATAATTTATAATAGAATTCAAAGTATATAATATTTTAAATATAATTTATATATACTCATATAAAAAATCTATATTAATTGTATTTATTATAAATTATATATTTATAAAACAATATTTTTTTTCGGTATATGAAGATAAAAGAAGAATAGATTTTTTTATTATTAAATATAATAATTTATAAATATATTGTTATAAATTATATATATTTATAAATGCAAACAAAAAATTATTTTGTGATAAATAATATGTTTAATAAAATAAATTTGTATCTTAATTTTTATTTAATGAATAATTATTTAAATAGAAAAAAATTTTAATTAAAAAAAAATTTATAATAAATTATATAATAAAATTATATATTAATATTAATTTTAAAAAATTTAAAATTAATATTTAATTTATTTATAATATATAATATTTTAATTAATTAATATATATAAATAAATATATATTTATATATTATATATTTAAAATAAATATAAATATTTTTTAATATTTTTGTTATTTTTTATACAATATTAAAACACAATATAAAAAAATAAAAACTATATATATATTTTTAGAAAATTTATAAACTTATATTAAAAAAATTATTTACTTAATATTAAAGAAATATGAATAAATTAATAAAAATTAAAAATATAATTATATAAACATATTATTACTAATAAAAACAACGGAGAAGGTACTACCAAAAACAATTAAGAAAGTAATACTGTAAACAATAAAGAAAATTAAATACAAACAACTAATAATGTACTAATACAAATAATAGAGTAAGTACAACTACAAAAAATAGAGGAATAATAATACAAGCATTTGAAAAAGTATTAAATAAAATGATTATGGTACTAAAATTATATATATATATATATTTACTAATTTCTATGATGTTTATATATTTTATTATTTTTATTTATTGGCTATATAAATTCAAATTTAATTTTTTTTTTCATATTAATAATAAATAATATAAATAAATATTTATTTTATATTTTTATTTTACAATTTTAATATTAGATTTTATTTATATTGATTTTTTGAGAATTATTTTGATAATCTTTATATTTTTTCAATAAGTAAATTGTAAATATTCTTAAAATATTAATTTAAATTAATTAATAAAAATAAATAAACATATCAAAAAATATTATTTTTTTAAAATATAATTTTAAATATAATTATTTTATTAATTTATATATATATATATATATATATATATATATTTTTATATATATATATCTTTATATTATTTTATTTATAATTCAATTTTAGAAATTTAAAATTAATTACTTCATTTTTCTTTAGATTAAAATATTTTTATTTTTGTTAATTAATAAATAATTTAAAAATTAAAATAATTAAATAACTTTTTTTTTAAATTTAAAATAATAAAAATGTATAATTTTGATATATTAAATAAACCATATGAACTTATTTTATTTTATTCTTATTTAATTTTAAAAATAAAGAGATATTAATAATTTCAATAAAGAATCATTATCACTAATATTTTGTAATACCTTAATTATTTGTAGTATTATCATGCTTTTATTTCGCATTTTGAATTTGAATAATAGTATCCTTTTTTAAAATCACATTAATGACATTCTTAAGAAGTACAACGTAAACATCCATCACCACAATAAATGCATATTTTATTATCATAATCAGGATAATAAGTATCAGGACAATCTTAAAAACATTAATTCTAATACAAGAAAAGGTGATCTTAACATTATAAGCAATAATTTTTATTATTAGGAGAGCATGTTTCACAATTTATACTGCATTATTCTTACTAGCAAGTAAAGCTTAAAATATTTTGAAATTCCCAACCATTCTGAGTATCACATTAAACACATTTATATTCACTCCAGCAATTAAGGCAACCTTAATGACATTGTAGGCATTAACCATTTTACACAAAGGTACCTAGAGGGCATTCTTCATAGCATTAATTTTTCCAATAATAAGAACCCTATTCACATATAGTAATTGGTACACATACTCTTTTTTCTTTATCCTAAAATTAATCTTCAGGGCATTAAGAAACACATTAACCTTAAAATAAAAAAAATCCATTAATGCAAGAAATACAAGTACTTAATTCACTTGAACATTATTAGCATCCTTGAGAACATACTTCATAACATTAATTTTACCAATAATAAGAATCCTATTTACATATAACAATTGGTACACATACTCTTTATATTTTATCCTAAAATTAATTTTCAGGGCATTAAGAAACACATTATCCTTCTAATAAAAAAAATTCATTTATGCAAGAAATACAAGTTTTTAAATCACTTTAACAACGTTAACATCCTTTAGGGCATTCTTCATAACATTAATTTTACCAATAATAAGAACCTTACTAACATAAAATAATTGGTTCACATTCTCTTTTTTATATATTCTCAATATAATTTACAGGGCAATAAGATAAACATGTTCCTTCAAATAAATATGTTCCACTTAAACAATAAGTACAAGTCTTTAAATCCCTTAAACATTAATAACATCCTTAAGGACATCCTTCATAGCATTTATTGGACCAAAATAAAGAATCCCTTTTACATTTAACATTTAGTACACATTCATGTTTTTCTAAATCCTTAAATTAATTTTCAGGACATTCAGTAACACATTTTCCATTTGATAAGAATAATCCTCTATAACAAAAAGTACAAGCTTTTAAATCAATTGAGCATTTTAAACATCCTTAAGGACATTTAGCACATAAATCGCCTTTTTTTTTAAATTATAATTATTCATCACACACTGCACATACAGTTTAAGATTAGCATTATATACATCCTGTAATTTCACATGTTTGGCATGTATTATTTTCTTTATTAATGAATGTTCCTTAAGGACAATCACTAGCAGCAACACATTTACCAGTATTTAAGTTAAGGAAGTACTAGTCTTTACATTTAGTACATTTTTATTTATTATAATAATCACATTTCTCACATTATTTTTAATCACATCCTTAACTAACTGATTTTATGCATATTCCTTATTCTAATTAATAGTCATTACTACATTATTATACACATATTCGATCTTCTGAATATGTAAAAAAACCACAGTCTAAACAATCAAAACTTGTAGGACCAGAACATCTTTTACATATTGCATTACATTAAACACATTTTTTTTGTAATATACTACAATAAAAACCATTAGGACACTAATCTCTACATACTTTGTCAAGATTTGCATATTTACCTTTAGGGCATTATTAAACACATTATGTTGGATCTTCCTCTAGAGTAAAATATTGACAATTTTTTTCTTCAATATTACAATCAGGTCCTGACCATCCTGATTTACATTTACATTATCCAAATATGCAAATACCTTTTCGAGAACAATAGTTAGGACATTTAGGCTTATGACTACAAAATTCTCTATAATTATCAGGACAAGCAATATAACCATATTCTGGATTTCCTTCATTAACTTCGATTTCTTTTCCTTAATCTTATTTTCTACAGATTAATTTTTTATTGCTCAATTAAGTAATAGTTATCGTAACTTAAGTAAAATCAGGAGAACATTCGACTTTATGACAACGAGAATTGCTATTATAAGAGATACCTATTCCATAAAGAGCAGTAGATTTAAAGCATTTAGAGTCATCTCCAAAATATTAAAAAGTGAAAAGATTAGAACTAATTTAATGACTTGTTTAATCATTACAAAAAACTTAATTTTAAATTCTTTAACAATTATCCGTTAAAACACTTTTACTAATTCCTCCATAACCATCGTATATTAAAGAGCATTATTAAGGAGAATATTCTATTTAAGTAAATTCTGGATACTAAGTTTTAGAATAGCAAGCTTAAATAGCAAACTCACATCCTCTATTTCTTCCCCATTATATATCATCGGCCATATTTTCATTAACTTCAGCATAAAAGCCACTATCTCTCAATAAAGCAATAGTAAAAATAGACAATTGATAACCTCTTCCAGAAGACTCAGCAGTCATCAATTCATTAAATATGATTGTTTTTTCCCAATGTGAACTAATGGAACTCTTACTATCATCATTCTCTAATTGCATTCCTTCTAAAGTATAACATCCATAATATTTTCTAGCAGTAGCAAGTATATGAGGTGTAAAAATTATTTAAGTATTTTTATTCCTTATAATAACTGTTTTTATATAACTTTCTATTTCTTCACCATAATAGTTTCCTGTTAAAGGATTTACCCAATATTTATATAAGCCACTTGAAAATCCTAATATATGCAAACATTCATGCAAAATAATATTGAAATCACCTTAAAATCCAGAAATTTATTTATTTTTGTCTAAATTATTTATATTTACATTAATTAAACCAAAATTAACTCTTTTCAAATTTTCATCCAGTTAACAATAAACACCAGTAGCTAAAATACCTACTTATTATTAGGCTACTAAAATATGTATATCAGAATTTTTCTCACCATCTGTTCTATATTTTTAAGGAACAGATATATTATGGCATATTTCACTATTAAATTTAATAGGTTCTTAAGCAGGAATAACTTTTAATAGTTTTTCAAAATATGCCTTAATTAAATCAATCAAATCTTATAAATAATCTCTTTTATGATTATCTTCTGCTTAATCTTAAGAAGAAATAAAATCTATAGTAACTCTTATAGGTAGTGGATATAATTTTTTTTTCTTAGTTATCTTATCTTTTTGAAGACTTTTTTATAATATTCTTCGTGATTAATCTATTTGTTCATTTAATTATGCGAAATTAAATTCAGCATCATGATTGCATATATGATTATATACTCCTAATATTAAATAAGAAAGAAATAATATTAATAAAATTAAGATTCTTTGACTATTATTAGTTTTAATTAAATTCATTTTTAATATTTTTATTATAATTTATAAAAAAAATATTTACTTAATATAATTTACTTTATATCAAAATAAAACAAAAATTGTATTTATTTTTTGTATTTATAATTTTTAATTTTTTTCAATAAAGGTAATAAATGAATTATATTATATTCAAAAATAAATTATTAAAAAATATAATGTCCTAAAATTATAGTTTTTTAGAAATTTCACAAAAATTATTTTTGAATTATATTATTTTTGTCTTTGAATATAATTTAATATAAATTAAATTTTTTATTTAAATTAAAATTAAAATAAAATACATGCTTAATTAATATATAAAATAATAAATATAAATTTAATATTATTAAACAAATATTTATAAATAAAATTTTAATAATCTATATAAATAAATATGTGAATAATATCTTATTTATAAATAATTATTTAATTTTGTAAAATTTAAATTATAAATATTATTAAAAATTATTAATAAAAAAATAAATAATTAATTATAAAAAATAATAATTTCAATATAAATATTTTTAAAATTCTTTTTATTTTAATAAAATTAAAAATTTAATATTAGCCTTGTTAACATTTTTGTATAAAAAAAAAAAAAGATTTAAATATAAGTTATCAAAAAAAATTTAAAAATCAATTAAAGTATAAATTTTTTTAATTATTTTTTTAACATATGCTTTATTTTTATTTAATTTATATTTTATATTTTTTTTTTTATTTTATTGATTTACAAAATTATGTTTTGGTAGTCATTAAAATTTCAATATTTAAATTAATTAGATGTTTAAATAATATTTATTTTAGAAAGTATTAAATAAATTTTTTAATTATATTAATTAAGATTTTATATTAATAAACTTTTACAAATTTTTGTTTAAATTTATAAATTTTTAATATATTTATATGCTTAAAAATACAAATATTTTTAGTTTTATTTATAGTTAATATTTTTCTTTTTTATATGATAAAAATGGAAATATATAATTATAAAAAAAATCCAAAATATTTGTATATATGATATATTTCAGCCTAACTATCTTAAGTAAGTACAAATGTTTGAGTAAAATCTATATTAATCTATAAACAAAAACTATATTTACAAGTTAAAAATAATAATTTATCTTTGGCAATTTACATTTTATTTTAAATCTTTAATTATATATAAATTATATTCTTAGCAATTTTTTTTTATATTATATATAATTAACTTAATTTTTAAAAAGCCAAGAACAATTTATAATTTTAAATATTCAAAATATTATAATAGTAAGAATAATAAGAACAAATATTATTCTATTATATAAATTGATATTTCAAATTTATAAAAATGAAATATTAGAATTATCAACAAAAAAACATATAAAGAATATGTATATGAAAATTGATATTAAATTAAAACTCATATTATTTGACAAGTAAAATTAAAAACATTAATCAATAGATTTTATAATAAAAATAAATAACTGTATTAATAATAACAATTAAAATTTAAACGATATATAATATTTTTAAAATAAAATAATAAATGTATTAATAGCAGTAAAAATATAATCAACAAATATAGAATTAATGAATAAATTAAGTACAAATTTCAATTTTATATAATATTTAAATTTCAGATTAAAAAAAATTTGAAATAATATAAAATTTAATTATTTATCTTATTATAAAAATAAGTAAACTAATTATTAATTACATTTATTTATAAATACTCATTTTTTATATGCTTTTTTTATATAATTTTTTCTATTATAAATATTAAATATCTATTTAAAACAGATAAATAATTTTAATTTAAAAAATTCAAATTATTAAATAAAATAATATAAAATAAATAAATATATAAATCACAATTTGGCATAAGCATAAGCTTCACCTTTCATTAACATTCCAACCATAGGTTTTCCTAAATTTTCGCTAACCTTTGCTACAATTTCTTTATTTTTATAAAAGCTACAGGCTTCTACTATAGCCCTAGCTCTTTTTTCAGGGATATCAGATTTAAATATACCACTTCCAACAAAGACTCCATCAACTCCTAATTCCATCAACAAAATTACATCAGCAGGTGTTGCAATACCCCCAGCTGCAAAAGTAACAACAGGTAATCTTCCAAGTTTTCTTACTTCTCTAACTAAATCTAAATTAACTTAATGTTATTTTGCGAAGACATAAATTTCATCATCTCTTAAAGATTAAAGTCTTCTTATCTCTCCAAAAATGGATCTTGTATGTTTTACAGCTTCTACAACATTACCAGTTCCTGCATCCCCTTTCATTCTAATCATAGAAGCACCTTCAGAAATTCTTCTAAGAGCTTCTCCAAGATCTTTAGCTCCGCAAACAAAAGGAATTTTAAATACACTTTTATCAATATGATTATGTTAATCAGCAGCAGTTAAAACTTCACTTTCATCTATACAATCAACACCTAAAGTTTACAATATTTAAGCCTCTCCAAAATGCCCGATTCTAGATTTAGCCATAATAGGGATAGAAACTGCATTTAGAACTTCTTTTATCATTCTTGGATCTGACATTCTTGCGATAGATCCGTCAGCCTTAATATCAGCTGGAATTTTTTCCAAAGCCATCACCGCACAAGCGCCTGCAGCTTCTGCAATTTTCGCTTAAGTTGCATTTACAACATCCATAATTACTCCACCTTTAAGGAATTTAAGAAAGCCAACTTTTACAGACAAGCTGCTTTTAATGATAGTATTAGAATCATTGATTCCGTAATAATGTTCTAAATGTAAGGGTCTTTATATTGTACAGAAGTTTGCTCTTACTATATTCAAAAAATATGAATGCCAAGAATAGTCTTCATTTGTTATTTCAGGATGGAAAACAGTTGCAAGCATATTAAATTATTAAACTGCTACAATTACTTAATTTTCTCCTTCAACTTTAGTAGTAGCTAAAACGTCTACTTTACTATTGTCAATTTTCAAAATAGCAGGAGCTCTTATAAAATGGGATACTTCTGAAAGACCAAAATTTTTTGCTTTTTAAGTTAATTCAAGTCTTCTAATTGCACTGTCTGTTTATCTTCCAAAATAGTTTCTATTTACTGTTATATTTAGGCCGCCAATCAAAGGTTAATATTTTACATTTTCTTAAATTCCTATAACTTGTTAATTAGAAACCTTCTCTGATAACATTATAGCACCTGCACATATGCCCCAAACTGGCTTTGATTTTACAAATTCTTATATGACTGAGAGCATTTAGTATTTTTCTAATAATATTCCTTATGTTGTAGATTCTCCTCCAGGAAGAATTAAGGCGTCTAAATTTTTCAACTCATGAGGATGGCGTACATCTATCACATTTATTGTATTTGATATTTTTTATAAAATCTCGCAATGCTCTATGAAAGCACCTTAAAGAGAAAGTACACCTATATTTAGAGTTGCCATGTTTTAAATATTTTTATATATTTTTTTAAAAATATTTAATTAATTTAAAATTTATTTATTTTTTGAAAAAGATTTTTTTAATTATGTCACACTATTTATTATAATATTAAAATAATTGTGATATAAAATTATTTTAAATGAAAAAAAATGAAATATAATTATTGAAAAATAGAAATCAAAAGAATTTTCTTTGATAAAATTTTTATAAATAAAAATTATAATGAAATAATAAAAGATTTAAAATTTTTAAACAAGAGAAAATATAATAAAATTAAATTTTTAATAATGATTATATATAAATAATATTTTTTGTATAAAATAAGTTAAAATTTTCTATATAAAATAAGTTGAAATTTTTTAATACTTTTAATAATAATTAGATATAATAAGAATTTTGTTTCTCAAATAGAAACTAATAAAGTTTAATTTGAATTAATATTAACTATATAATATATCTTATTTAACTTTATTATTATAGTTATTTTATTAATTTTATAATTTTATATAATTATAGATTTTTTTACTTTTATAATTACATTATATATAATATTTATTATACTATTATTTTTAATATCTTAATTTCTAATATTTTATTTTGCAACAAAAACATTACAATAATTTTTTCGAAACATAATTTAATGTTTATTAAAAATGTTATTTATTTATAAATTTTATTAGTTATAAATTACTTTTTAAATATCAAAATTTTAAAATATTCTCTATTACTTGTTTATATTATTTTTAAATTTTATTATGTAAATGTAATTATCAAAAAAATAAGTAGTAAAAAGCAGATAATGGTTTTTTTTTATTTATTAAGTTTATTATAATAATTATAGAAAAATAAAACTATATGAAAAAAGTAATATTACTAAAGAAAAATATTAATTTAAATAAAAATCTTAAAAATTTTATATAATTTTTAATTAAAAAATTAACTATGTATTAAGTATTTAAAGTTTTTTCTTTTATTTTACATTTAATTTTTAATATTTTAGATATAAATAATTAAATTAAACAAATAACTGTAAATATATCAAAGTTAAATAAATAATATTTATACAAAAAATAGTAAAAATATATATTATAATTATTACATAATAAAGATTTTTTTTTTTTTTTAAATTACATTTTAACAATATTCATATTACATTTAATTTTAAATTGTGTAATATATATTAGTCTATCTATTATTGTTATTTATTTATTATAATACTAAACACCATAATAAAAATTTTCACAAATAAATACAATATAATCTTAAATAAATATATGATAAAAACTATTTTTTATAAATTAAAATATATTAATAAAACGACTTTAATTTTATAAACTTGTTAAAAATTATTAAACATAGAAGTTAAAATCTTAATAGATAAATATTATCAATATAAATTAATAATATTATATACTTGCGATAAAAAAATTAAATTAAATTATTATAGAATGTATAATTAAAATATATTAATTTTTAAAATTATTATGATAAAATAAAATTATTCTTAATAATTAAAATTTAACCATTAATTTACTTATTATAAGAAAAAAAAATTAAATTGTTTAAAAATATTATAAAAAAATATAATAAATATTTTATTTTGATAAAAAGATAATAAAAATTATAAAATAAAAATTAAATTAATATTTAATTTAAAAAAAATAAAAAATATTAATAAATAAATTTTTTTAGGTTAATGAAAAAAAATATATAAGAAGCAATTCAAAAAATATATTTAAATAATTAATATATATATTTAATATAGCTATAATTTATATATCAAGAGAATATAAAATAATTAAAGATAAATTTTTTACTTATAAAATCTTATGTATTAATTATAATGTCAACTATCAACAAACAATATTACTTTAAAATAAAAATATAATATATATAATTATAATAATATATAAATAAAAAATTAAAATAATTTTAATTTTTTATTAATAAAATTTATTTATATTTTTATAATTATTATATTATTATTATTATTTATTATATATATTATTATTATTATTATTTTTATTATTATTATTTTTATTATTTTTATTTTTTCTATAATTTTTATTTTTATTATTTATATTATAATTTTACATTTTTAACTATCCAAATTATATAGGTATTTTTATAAATTTACATTCGTTTTCATCAATTTTATTTTTACTTTAATATTTTTTTTTTAATTAAATAGTATTTTTTTTTTAAATAAATATTTACCTTAAATCTATTTCTACTTCTTTTAAAGATTTAGGTAATCTTCTTGATTATTCTTTTAATTTTTTTGCTCCAATTTAAGTTATTTAATTTTCTCTATAATTTTTTATTTATTTATTTTAAAACTTTTTTCAATTTAACCCAAAATATAATTTTAGTTTTTGAAGACTTTTTGGGAAATCCTTGAATTTTAGTGCTATTTCGTTTATGGCTTCATCATTTATCAGATTTTCACTTTTTTGTATTTATTTATAATAAATTATTAATAATATTACCCTAGCGTTATTATTAAAGTTTATATATTACCCTTATATTTCGATAATGAACTAAATAGATCTACTGCTGCTTAGTTCGAAATATTATTTTTTCTAGTTTGGCTTTATTTTTTTATGTTTTTATAAAATTTTATACCCTAAATATAGTTCAAGAACATTAAAATCAATACTATTATTCTATAATGCATCAGATATGCATTTTAGTCCTTTGTCTCCAATATTATTATTGCTAATTACAAATGTTTTTGTAAGTACATAAAAATATTTTATATATTTTTACTATATATTTAATGAAAAATATAGCAAATATTATTAAATCCATTTAAAATTGGAAATTAGAATCACAATTCCTTCTTTTCCTAATTTATTATTGCTTTTAATTTAAAATATAAATGATTCTTATTTTTGTAATTTAAGTAACCCTAAATAAAATGTAATTTTTTCTAATACTGTTGGTAAAAATAATAAAGATTCTGTAAGTTATTTTATTCCTAAATTCGTTATATTGTTATCTCTTTTAATATTTTATAATATAGTTTTTATTATATTTAATACCCTAAGTTAATTGTTAATTCTTTTATTGTTTTTGGAATAAATTTAATTCCTTCTGCAAAATGAACTAATCCAATATCAGTCATATTATTTCCCCTTATTTATTAAATAAAAGATTGAAATATCAAAGAAAATGAGTTAAATAAATATTATAAAAATAAAAAAAGAATATCTATAAAAATTACCACATATCTAAATTTAATGTTTAAAGTGATTAAGGCATTATTCTTAAAAATTCGCTAAAATATTAAGTTCCTTTACTGTTTAGTCTATTAGCACTTTTTATAGAATGTATTTTTTAATAATTAATAATTAATACTTTTTTCATTACGTTAAAAATAAATAAAGATTATTAAGGTTTTTAGGCAACATTTTAAGAGAGTTTCCTAAATACCTTCCTCCTAATTCACCTATTTGATTGTCTCTATTTTTTAAAAAAATTTAAATCATTATCAAAAAGTTAAGAAGTTATTTTTAATACATTAATATTAAGTTTAATTGCCTTAGATTTTAAGGTAAACTCATTAATCCTTCAGCTAAATAATAAGAACCATCGTTTCCTAGATTATTTTTGCTTATTATTTTTAAAAATAATAAAATATGCTGATGATTTACCTTATATCTAGAGTTAAAGATGATAATTGTTAAGGAAAGTTCAAAATACTTTACTTTATTATGGGATATAGTGTATCTGATAAATTTAAATTACTATATATTTATTTTGGATAAGAATTAATAATAATTATTTTACTTACTTCATAAAAATAATTAATTGCTTTAATTTTTGATTTTTTTTAAATTGTTTAAATATTTATTATATTCCTTAACTAAATTCTTTTTAATGTTTAACTTTATTAAGGTTTATTATTATCTGTTCAAGCTTATTGTTAATTTAAAAAAATGTAATGCTTTATTGAATTGATTATAAGCTATTAATAAAGAAATATATATATATAATTTTTTTATTTTTATGTTAATAATATAACATTGGTTCTATTTGAATATCTACTTCTGATATTGTTTAATTTAAAGTAACATTATAAAAGTTTGGTAATATTTTTTAATCAATCCTTTAGTTTTAAAAAAATATTATATAAAAGTAAATATAAAAAATATAATCAATTTTACTTAATTGAATTAACTATTACTTATTAATCTATTTATTACTAAATTTAATTACTGCTATTTTTTTTTATTTAGAAAAATTAAATTAAACACAAAAACTAAAATAAATTTAATTGAAATACTTTCGTAAAACGCATTAATCATTATTTAATAAAAACTATTTATTTAAACAAAAATCGCATTTTTACGTATTATTTTAATTACAATATAAACAATTTTAAGCTTTACATTATAAACATTGCATATTATTAGAAGTTAATTGATAGTTATCTTTACATTTTACACATTACTTTAAATCACAAATATCACAATTTTCTATTCCACATAACTATTCATTTTACTTAACACATTCAAGACATTTTTATGAAGAGTTTTTGCAATCTTTATATTTTACATCTTATAAGCATTTTCTACACATTCTAGTATCTTTCATTTCAAAATATCCTTCTGGACAATCTGCTAAACAATAGTATTTTTATTAATTTTAGTTTTTATATGTAAAAAATGGGGGAGGACAAACGATAACACAATTTCCTTTATGCAGTTTAAATGTATTATTACATTATAAACACTAATCTGCTGTACAATATTCACAATTCTATTAACATTTGTAATGTCTGAAATTCTATACAATATTTGAAGAAATATAAATGTAAATAAAAATATTTTACATAGAAATAAGAAAAAAGAATAGAAATTGATATTGACAATATAATTAAATATTTTTTCTTTTATTGAAACACATTATACTAATAATTTTTTTTATCTTTTTAAATCATTTTTTTAAAAAATTAGTGTGTATATTATTTATTATATATATTTTTTAATTTAAAATT